CATTGAGTATCATAACTTCTGGTGCATCCCTGAAGGTTGCTGTAGGCCACTGCCATGGCATTGTGTGACTGGATTCTGATTGCTGAGAGGTCCAGAATTGAAGGAACAACCACCGCTAACCTTGAGTTCTAGGAAGTGGTCAATGATTAAACATACTCTGACGTTCAAGTCCCCTGCACCAAGGGACTCCTTGATGCCCCCTCAATATGCATCTTTGGTGGAAAGTTTTTCCTAAATCCCTAGTACTTGTTTGGAAATTTACCACATCAGAGACAGTCTGGCCTTGCAGGTCAGATGGGGCTGTCTAAGGACTGGGTCTTTTTGCCCCATGCAACTAGAATAGGGCTTAAAATTTCAAGTCCTGAGCTACTAGCCAGGCCTTAAGAGTTACTCGCCACCAGTTGCCCCACCAACCCTTACCCTGCCTCGCCCCCTAAATTCAGCCCCTAAACACGCACTCATAAATTATTTCATGAAATGTTACCCAAATTACATCAGTGTCCCCAGAGCCCCCCCTCACATTACAATCAGTGCCTTCAATGTCCCCCTAAACACTCCTTCATACTTAGGCCATGTACCGCATACAACCATAATCTTTCACTCACAAAAACCATAACTCTACCAAGCATATCCTACCTACTGTCCAACCCAGCAGTACCTCAAATGTCCCATTCTCTACCACCCATAATAACCACATAATCCTGAACCTGTCCAAACCACCCATACATGTAGGTTTACATACAGACACATGTACATACACACACAAACAGAGACAGCTGTACACACACACACATACATGTACATACATACACACACAGAAACATGTACACACACGCACAGAGACACATGTACATACACACACAAACAGAGACAGCTGTACACACACACACATACATGTACATACATACACACACAGAAACATGTACACACACGCACAGAGACACATGTACACACACACCACACACACATACAGAACACATGTATAAAAACACAGACACATGTACAGACACACATACATGTACATACACACAGACACATGTACATACAAACAGAAATACACACACAAAAAACACACATGTACAAACACAGAAATACACACACAGACACATGTACATACACATAGACGAATGTACATACATACACAGACACATGTACACACACACACATGCACATACATACACACAAACACATGTACATGCACACACACACACATGCACACGCAGACAGGACACATGCACACATACACATATATGTACATACACGCAGACACATGTACAGATACACACATGTACATACAGACACGTACATTCATACACAGACACACACAAACACACACACAGGTACATGTACATACATACACACACAGCCCTTATAAAAAAAGTTGCAGTAGTTTGTTACCTTCACTCACAGAGCCAGGTACTGCACTCTAGGGGGAGGCAGAGAGAACAGCACACACTCCTTTCTTTGCTTTCACTTTGCTCAACTATTGAGCAGTCTGAAGGCTCCCAGTGTGAGTGACAGATCCAGCCCTGAGTTCCGAGCCTGCTCAGCAAGACGGCCCTGGGGACACACTCGCCCCTCACCATAATTTCCAGTTGCCAATGCGAGCTGGCGAGTGGACATTTCAAGGCCTGAACTAGAATAGGGAGTTGCAAGAGTCTGGAATGAAACTGAGCATTTGGTGCTACCTTGAAAAAAAGGCTGCCATCAGGCCGAAGACCCTCATGCATGCACAAATTGAAGTTTGGCTCTAGGACTTAATAGGTATGAGCACATGAGCAGAGGGGACAAAGGTTTGTAGAAAGGGGTGGGGAGATCCTGGACAGGGCCATATCCAAGATCAGGCCCAGGTGCTTCAATCAGTGATGGCTTTTGAAAGGTTGGGGATCCATCAGAGTCTCTGCATCTGTTGTACTTTGGTTGACAGAGCTTGAGTGGACTTTTCTTTTAACAGAAGATCATCTGGGTATCCCACCACGTGGACACCTTGAGAGGTGCAGAGCTAGGACTGGGGCACCCACCTTGGTGAAGACCCAGGGTGCCATGGAAATGCTGAAGGAAAGGGCAATGAATTAGTAATGTTGTATGCCTACAAAGAAAAAAAGAGTGCGGATAGCATTGATGTGCAGGAGAGATGGCGATGAGGGGCCAGAGAGTCCCCTGGTAGAAGGGGAGCAATAACTGTCCTGGTCATTTCTATGCTTTAGGACTAACAAGAACAAGTTGAGATTCTCCAGATCCAGAATAGGGTGAGTGCCTCCATTTGCCCTGGGAACAGTGAAAAGATCTAAATAGAAACCCCTGAAAGTATTCCTCATACAGCTACAAAATGTCAGGTAATAAACACCCTAACATGAAAGATGTTGAAAAAAAACATGTAGACCTGTCTATTTTTGCAGGGAAGATGGAAAAATTGCAGAAGCATGTAGTGGGGAGGCGACAGTCTAAAACTCTAGTTTGTAGCCCCTGAAAATTACCTTTTGACCCAAACATCTGAGATTTTTGGAATCAGGTGGCTGAGTGGACCAGTAGACACCTCCCAGTTCTGACAAGGAACTGCCAAGGTCTTGTTAAGTCAAGAAAGATCTGTCCATTTTTGAAGGAAACCCTCCTCAAAAGGGTGCAGCTGAGCAAAATATACAGTATTGGAGGGATAGAAAGCTTTCAAGGGTGAGGTTTGTCACCATTCAAAACAACTCTTAGCAGATTATGGGCGGCACAGTGGCTTAGTGGTTAGCACGTCTGCCTTGCAGTAAAATGGGTCATGGGATCGATTCCCGACCATGGTGCCTCCTGCATGGAGTTTGCATGTTCTCCCTGTGCTTGCATGGGTTTCCTCTCTGGGGTGCTCCGGTTTCCTCCCACACTCCAAAGACATGCTGGTAGGTTAATTGGATCCTGTCTAAATTGGGCCCTAATATGTGTATGTATAAATGTGAGTTAGGGACCTTAGATTGTACACTCCTTGAGGGTTAGGGACTGATGTGAATGTTCAATATATATATGTGTAAAGCGCTGCATAAATTGACAGCGCTATATAAGTACCTGAAATAAATAAATAAATATGGGCATTTTTTATGGGAGGACCCATATAGAGACCTTAGGGTGAAAAGGCTCAGTCTGTTCTAACACCAAGCATGAGCACACCACATCAATAAGGGTAGCAATGATATCCTTAGGGTTTTTTTGAGAATCCCAAAAGACAGTATCTCCTGATCTGATTCCTTAGAAGCAGAGGGCAATGGGCAGATCTTTATCACCTACCTCCTCCTCAGCAAGTCAGAGACCGACTCTGGAGGAGAGAGTGAAGGGACTTGTTTTGAGACCTGTGTGATTCACAGCCTCTAACAGGACTGAGATCCTACCCATAAAGCCAGATATAATAGCTGAGTACTTCTCTCCAGATGGGTCTTTTGAAGAAAGACTACAATTGAGTAGTTAAATCCAGAAATCTTCTGAAAAAAAGAGCTGCTGTTGCAATTGAGTAGTCAAAACATGATAGCAAAAATCTTAAACCAAAGGGAAATATTAAAAAAGATAAACTTTTCAAGAGAGAGTGATGCCCATCGTCTAAGAACATTAGAAACAACTTCGACCTGCTGGGAATGAGAGAGGTTACATGGGGGGTATCCCTGTCTTATTTTTCTGGTGTCCATTCACCTCAATGTAGCTGCATAATAACCTATGGTTAAGTCTAAAGATCCTGTGTCCTGTACTGTAAGATTAAGAAATACAATTTGTTTAAGAACTGTACTGGAGTCCAAGTAGAAACATGGCATAAACTGTTGCTAGGTTTGCTGTCTTATCAGAGGAGTTACATAAGCCTGCAAATTCTCAGATTTATCAGCACTTCTAAGTTAATGCCAAAATTACCTAATGGCTAGGTCAGCCCTGCCTGTACTTCTAAAAACAATGCACACATACATAGTCTTGGGTTATTTATGTCTCCAGGGAGATTGGAGATTGTTCCAATGTTGTGGCATATTACAATAGTTTCTTACAAGAAAACAAGACCACAATTTATGCATCTGGCTTAAAATGCTGTCAAAAATCCAATTAAGAACTTTTATTTCTCAGCAAGACACATGACGAACAAAACACTGGGCCTTCTAGCAATTTATAGTAACAGATGCGTGAATAATAAACAAAGATCATACAGATAATTGACAAATGCTTCATATATAAAGCAGTATATTTACATATACCAGGTATTACAGCTCATTAAGCTTTTTGAATAGACTTCTTCTCAGAGTATAAAGTAATTAGTATGCCACATCAACACACAGGATAAAAAGGGTGATTGAACAAAATGATAATAGTGAAAAGCATAAATGTAAAAATAGGACTATTTTTATTTTGCATTTAAAATGCTGTCATAGCTCTGCCTTTTGAAGCAAACCCAACCTTTACCTGAACTCCATGCACCCCATAGCAGGGATGATCGAGATTTTCCATTTCTCAGAAATCAAGGATATTATGGCGACATTTTGGCAATTTCGCAAATCGTATTCGAGTCAATGGGGAAGGCAAAGTTAGGATGATTTTTTATTTTTTTTATGGTTGTAAGGGCTTTCAATAATTCTTTGGGTTTATGGAAAATTCTTTTTGAATCTATTCTACTCAAAGTTAAATTTTTATTCACAAAAACAATAAAACAAAGGTTTCCCTGCTTCATTCTAAACACAGGAGGTCAGACGCTCAGCGTTGGCACCATTCAGAGAATGTTTAGCATTTTGAATGCAGTGTTCTGTGACTGGATGAGGTGGATAGGCAGGGCAGTGATATCACAAACTCCAGAAGAATGCAAAGTAAAAAATGCAATATACATTTCAGGTGCATACACTAGCTGTATTTATTATTATTTTTAAAACATTTTTTACATTACTAACTAGACTAGGAAGATTTTATTGGCACAGATTTATGCTTTGATGCACAATTTATATACAGATTATTCTACTGTTCAAGGCTGTAATTCTTGTCCATGCTGTTCTCGCTCTTACCTGCATTCTTTCCAGCATCTCAAAGAATTCTGCTGACTGTAAAAGAAAAGGAACAAAAAAGGAAAGAACATTTATCTTGCTGAAGATTTAGAACTGTTAGGTGATGGTCATTTCATCCAAGTCAAACAAACCAACATCAATGAGCATATGAGAATTTTTACTACACATATTTTCCATATCACAATATAAAACAGACATTCTATCTATCTATACACTACTGTATAATTCCAAAAGTATTGGGACACCGCTCTAAATAATTGGATTCAGGTGTTCCAATCATCTCCATGACCAAAGGTGTATAAAATCAAGCACCTAGGCATGCAGACTGCTTCTACAAACATTTGTGAAAGAATGGGTCGCTCTCAGGCGCTCAGTGAATTCAAGCGTGGACCGTGATAGGTTGCCATCTGTGAAATTTCCTTACTACTAAATATTCCACGGTCAACTGTTAGTGGTATTATAACAAAGTGGAAGCAACTGGGAACAACAGCAACTCAGCCATGAAGTGGTAGGCCACGTAAAATAACAGAGCAGGGTCAGGGCATGCTGAAGCGCACAGTGCACAGAAGTCGCCAACTATCTGCAGAGTCAATAACTAAAGACCTCCAAACTTGGTATGGCCTACAGATTAGCACAACAGTGAGTAGAGAGCTTCCTTGAATGGGTTTCCATGGCCGAGCAGCTGCATCCAAGCCTTACATCACCAAGCACAGTGCAAAGCATTGGATGCAGTGGTGTAAAGCACGCTGCCACTGGACTCTAGAGCAGTGGAGACGTGTTCTCTAGAGTGATGAATCACGCTTTTCTGTCTGGATGTGTCTGGGTTTGGTGGTTGCCAGTTGAGTGGTACTTGTCTGACCGCATTGTGCCAAGTGTAATGTTTGCTAGAGGGGAGATTATGGTGCAGGGTTGTTTTTCAGAGGTTGAGCTTGCCCCTTAGTTCAGGGAAGGGAACTCTTAAGGCGTCAGCATACCAAGACATCTTGGACAATTTCATGATCCCAACATGGTGGGAACCGTTTGGGGATGGCCCCTTCCTGTTCCAACATGACTGTGCACCAGTGCAAAAAGCAAGGTCTGTAAAGACATGGATGAGCGAGTTTGGGGTGGAGGAACTTGACTGGCCTGCAGAGAGTCCTGACCTCAACCCGATAGATCACCTTTGGGATGAATTAGAGTAAAGACTACGAGCCAGGCCTTTTTGTCAGATATCAATGCCTGACCTTACAAATGCGCTTCTGGAAGAATGGTCAAACATTCCCATAGACACACTGCTAAACCTTGTGGACGGCCTTCACAGAGGAGTTGAAGCTGTTATAGCTGCAAAGGGTGGGCCAACTCAATATTGAACCCTACAGACTAAGACTGGGATGCCATTAAAGTTCATGTGCATATAAAGGCAGGCATCCCAATACTTTCGGCAATATAGTGTATATACACAAAATATTTATTGCCATCATTTTACTTTATCCATCAATTTTCAAAGGAAAAAAAAAAAAAGAGTACAAAGGTCACTTAACTCATATTCGCTTAAAATCCTCAAAACTGTACGCAGAAAGCTAGCCAAATAGGAATTTCCCTTGCACATGATAGGATGACAAAAGTAAACATTGCTTAACTTGCCTACATGAATGACGTGAAGCTTTGCTGACTTTCATCATCCAAATCATGTGCAAGCAATCAAAATTGATGTTTTTTCTCTCATGATTTGGTATTCTTTACAAAGTGAATTTTCCCTACATTTGCTAAGCTAGGCAAAAACTCCTTAGCAAAGTGAACGGCCTATTTGCCTTTACTAAACCAACTCCATTGAGTCAAATTACATTAATGGCATATTACATAATGACAACAACAACAGCAAAAACACAGAAATACTTTGAAATTATGGTTATATACGATTTCATCCATTGAAAGGATGAAATAATGGTCCAATAATGGACCATTGAAGTTACTACACCATGACAATTTCTGATGTTCCCTCTTTAACCCTTTCCATATAACTCACAAAAAAAAAAAAAAAACTTGGCCCACTACCCTTTACTGTGGCTTGCACTTACAACGGATAATAAGGATCATCGTTATCGGAAATTCTACAGATTAAACCAAATATGACTACTGTGAAAAACAGATCTGTAGGAAGTTACCTTTGCATCTAACTTATGATGAATGTTCATGCAAAAAAATCTAGAAGGTTTTAAAACCTCTGAACAGCCACATGCTGCTTAATGTCAAATCACAGCATTTCTTATGATATGCATATATGACTGCAACAATTGTGGACTCCTCTGTGTCAGAGAATGGGTGTGGTTTTAAAGCCCAAATGACATCACAGAGATAGATATGCAGTCAGACAAACATTGTATTAATGTCCATTTTCTTAATCATATCTCTATTTTTCTGTTGCTGTAGTTGATGTAGGTTGTCTAATTATTACTAAAACAGTCCAATAGGCACCAGAAAGACCCAGTGGTCTAATTACATCACACATACCTGGCCAGCTATACCATTCCCCTTCTCTGCAATAGATGTTTGTGTGCGGATACTTATGATAAGGGGTGTTTCTGTTACTCAGTTATGTACACACAGACCACTGTAGTGTGAGGGCAGGGAAACAACATTTTCACTGACAGAAACAGGAAATTTAAAGCAGTCCAAGCAAAAATGAGCCATAAATCATTCCATGCAGGCCTGCAGGTATATGAAGGGATATAAAATGTCTAAATGTGGCTTAAATGTACAGTATTTATAACAAAGGATAACTGAAAATGGGTCTAAAGCACTGAATATACTTTAGTGAACATCAAAAACCAACTAAAGAGCCAGTACACATAAGGCCTCATTCAGTTGGGTGTTCTTAAAGTGTTACTAAACCCCAGCCCCTGCATTCACTATATCTGGTCTCCCACAGTATACAGAACATGGAAGTGCAATATTTTTAGTATTTTACCTTTTCTTATCAGCAGCTAGAGCAGTCTTGTGACTTCTATCAGTGTCCAGCAGAGCACTGCTTAAAGCTTGTAGGAGGAGTTTTCATTCTCCTCTCACTTTCCAAGTGAAATTGCATAACCCCTGACCCTCTGTCTGGACAATGCTGATTGGCCATGTGCTGATCACATGCTCCCTTCCAAGAAAAGGAAAAAACTCTCTAGCAGTGCACACCAAACTGAGCATGTGCAGAGTGTCCCCATGGCTGTGTTCTATCAGGAGATGAAATGGGGAATGTGGAACAAGGGGAGGATTAGAGAAGACAGGATCAAACATCCTTTTTTACACAATGCAGAGGATTAACCCATTGGGTTCCACCTTGAGTATAACAAGCATGCTTTACCGCATAGACGGACTGATTTTACTGTTGTGGGTTTAGTAACACTTTAGGTGTGAGAGCTTGCATGGGGAGCATGGGTGTTCCTGCACCCACACGCACCAGCACCCATACAGATGTCAAACTGGGAACAGCGACTGTGTCCCAACTGATATGAATGGGAATACCTGCACATGGATGCATGGAACACCTGTGCATCATTGGCCCTCACACAGGTGTAAGCTTAAAGTGGAATTCCAGTCAAATTCTAACTAAGCCTAAATCTACTCCCAACCCCAGTCTAAGACTATTCCAACTACTCCGTAAATGAAGATACCTATGCTTACCTATTATGAAGCCGCTCCAATCTGGTCACATGACTGGCTCCCAGCACTGGCTTTAATGTAGAGGAGGGACAGCTGACAATGGTTGCCCCATAGTGAGCCTATGGGTGACATCATCGCCCAGGTTCTGCAGCCATTGTCGCTGCCTCTCCTCTATGCCGAAGCTGGTGCTGGGACCCAGTCATGTGACCAGACCAGAGCGACTTCAAAATAGGCGGATAGAATAGTCTTTAGAATGGTGGTGGGAATAGATTTGGGCTTAGTTGGAATTTGACTGGAATTCCACTTTAAGTATGCTCATGTGAATGAGGCCTAAATTTTGAGCTGGTATTCTCAAAGTTTATCAAAACAAAATATATAGCTAAAAAGGAAGTCTTATAAAGGGAAGTGATACTGTTGTTTTTCAAATGTACAGCTGACTTCCCGTCAGAATCCCAGCAGACGTTTTTGTCCATCATTACAGATAACATAGCAGTAGGCTGCACAACAATTGTCAATATATCAGTTTCTGTACAGGTGGGGGATTTTTACTTGCACAATAATAACTGCTATTAGTATCTAGTTTAAATAATGTCATTTTTTCATCACATGCTTTCTAGTCTTTTCTACTAACTGAAGATTAACATGAACATCATCACAGACAGCTCAAACATCCTATATGAAAATAAATATTTGCGCAGCACTGATAGATAGAACTAGTCAGGTAGTAAAACGTGGCATTAACCTTTGCGAGGAAGCACATTTATCTGCACACATTCTATAAAAACCATTAATTTTTACCTTGTATATTCTGTTGATATCAGATTCAAAGAGAAACTGAAAATGTAAAAAATGCTAAAATCGGTAGAGTTGTGTGGTAAAAGAGGCTCTGCATGTCTCTTCTGCAAAAACTCCTTTCCCTTCCTCCTAGCAATTTCTTCTCTCTATTAGACCTCATTCACACTGAGGATTTTAGATGTGACCGTGGATTTCTGTGGAAAAAACTGGAGGATTCTTGGGGCTAGAATCACAGGTGGTTCCAGAAAGGTGCCATGGACAGATGATCACCTCCGGATGCAGATAGATTAGGGCTGATTTACTAAAACTGCATGGTGTAAAAATATGGTGCAGCTCTGCATAGAAACCAATCAGCTTCCAGGTTTTATTGTCAAAAGCTTAACCACTTGCCTACTGGGTACTTTTACCCTCTTCCTGCCCAGGCCAATTTTCAGCTTTCAGCACTCTCACACTTTGAATGACAATTGTGCGGTCATGCTACCCAAATGAAATTTTTATCATTGATTTTTACACAAATAGAGCTTTCTGCTAGTGGCATTTAGTTGTCACTGGGGTTTTTATTTTTTGCTAAACAAAAGAAAAAAGACCAAAAATTTTGAAAAGTTAGTTTCTGTTA